TCACATACCTGATGGCGTGGTGGTGAGTCGGCCAGTGGAGCCCCTCGAGCCCCACCTGTCTGGAGCCCCGTCATCCTTCTTCCCTCCTTCCTCTTCCTACACCCCCTGTCTTGCTCTTCCCTGATAGCTTTTACCGCTCCGCTGATTTCACAAATAGGCCTCATTGATTGAATTTGATTCTTCTGGATAGAGCAGTTTTATTGAGTGGCTTTCTCAGTGATGGACACAGAGCGTGTGTGTGAGTGTTTGTGTCACGCACGCGTGCATGTCGTGGATGATAACAGAAAACTTCCTCAGTCCCGTTCCTCTCCGTGTGCTGCGTAATCCAGCAGCTATTCCTCTCCTGGGGATTCCTGCAGCTACTTCATTATGGAGACACACACACACACACACACATACACACACACACGGTCCTAGTAATGTGTAACATCGTTTTATGGTGGGTGGCGTCTCTCACCGAGGAGTCTGTAGAAAATACACAGTTAACAAGACACGACACTAATCATCTGTTCTTGATTCTACAGCTCTAATATTCTTTGCCGTTCTTTGTTGATCAAAGCCGAGTTGTAAATACTTAACAAACGTTCACGGAGCACGAGAAAGAACAAAGAGCAAAGAAAACAGGCAAATGTTGCTCCAGAGGATTTGTTGATTCTGTGTTAGATGTAAATCAGAAATTATCGTCCTGAGGTTTTAGAGTTGAAACGTATTAGAACGCAGATGAAACTGCTGCACATTTCACACACACACACACCTCCTCATCACAGTGGCATCTGTGCTCTTCCCCTCTCGCTGCCCTCTATTTTGGTGCCTTTCTCATCCTCAGCCTCTCTGCCGTGGCTGCAGAGTTGGATGGATGGTGACACCCCTCTTCCCGCGTGCCGATTTAACCCTCGCAACCCCGCCAATCCATCATCATCATCATCCACCAGCTCACACCAAAACACACAGGCGACTTTAACATTTATATCCCACCATGCATTTGTCCTCTGCTGCCAAGTGTCTTGTTTTTATCTTTTTTTTCTTACAATAACAGATAACACAGAATATAAAGTGCAGCTTATTTTCTGATTCTAGCAGTAAACAAATGTGTCTTATACTCAGTTATTGTTGCATGACTAAAATCTACCAACGCAAAATATGTACATTATTTGCATATTTATGATTACATCATTTATTATTTAGGAATAACAATTTACCTAGCCTAATTGTAATTAATCACAATTAATCATGATATATTTAGGAATAACAATTTACGTAGCCTAATTGTAATTAATCACAATCCTAATTGTGATTAATTACGATATATTACAATTGTATTAACTCATGATTTATATGAGGCTACCTTGTGATTAATTTGATTTAAAAAAAAAATGGTGCTCTACACACGGCCAACTAAGTTTACAGAAGTTTTTTTGGCCCTTGGTTTGTTTCTCAAAAACCAAATTCACGAACCGAGTGATTGCCATCGTCGTGTTTCTCCGTGGGCGTGAGGTTAATCTGTGTTGTAAGGTGAGATTGAGTTGTAATGGTACGATTTTTTTTTTCTTCCTTTTTTTTTGAGAAGTGGGTTGTGCACCTCTGATTATCTCCCTCTGCTTGGGAGACTCCAGGCTGTGTGATAGGAAAAGCTTGTGACAGGTAAAATTTCTGCAGAATGGATAGTGTTTTGCTTAGCAAGTTGGCTTGGCCCACTTCCAGAGAACCACTGACACAGTGTTTGGAACACCATGCAGAGAGGGAGGGATGGGAAGCAGCTGTTTTGATTTGTGTGAGTCATTAGTACTTTTTAGCAGTTGTTGTTGTTTGTTTGTTTTGCTCTTTTTTTTTTGTTTCTCTCCCCATCATGGGAGGTTGTCCAGGACACGCACTGATTTAATCTGTGTTGTAAGAAACTAAGGAGGAACACAGAGACTAAAGTGGTGAAGCTAACAATGAAAAATGGGATTCAATACTCTTTACTGAACACACTCAGGTGTTAAAGGCAGTTATTTGACGCCTTGTTCATCCATGTGGACAAGTGTTTTTACGTGAAGTGCAGCACCCGATTAGTGTTTCTTTTCTCCCTCGTTATCGTAGTTGGTCGACTTCCTCGTGTTCCTCATTGACCTAGGAGACATTCAATTAACCTGCTATGTCTAAAGGAGTTAAGGCTGCATGTTAAGTGAAATGTCACGCTTGCCTAACCAACTGATTTGTTTTTTAAAAAGCACAAGCAGAGAATTTAGCAGCAGAACAAAAACACCAAACAGTAATCACAATTATTTCTAGCTATGTTGTAAATGTAGCTTGACATTGAGACATAGCATTTGGACCAAATAAAGCCAACATGGGTTTAAATTAGTATTTAGACAAGTGGGTCAAAAACTTCTAAGACAGATTTTATTATTTCAAAAGTTTTTAATCATCAAACATATTAGGCAAACCAAAAGTTTGAATAAAAATCTCTAAAGCTAACACTTCTTTTAAAAAAAGAGAGATGGAGAGAAGGGGGATTCTGTTGAACTCTGTGATTTGTGGCTGAAGTCCTTAAAGGATCCAGCTCTAGGTTCCACTTTTATCCAGAGGGAAAAAAACACCCCCAGCTCCGGGTCCCACTTTTATCCAGAGGGAAAAAAACACACTGACCCAGATTTTGAATTTCTTTCACAAAAGTACTGCAGTGATACACAAAGCCTGTATTCCAGGGCAGGGCCACAAGGTCCTGTATTTATATCCTGGTATTTGTAGGTTAGGTGCTGATATTTATTATACAAATGAGCATTTTATGCAAAATTTGGTAAATGGTTTTAACCCAAAAAAACATGTGTTGCATGTAATAGTTTTACTGAGGCGCTCTGATGTTACGAGCAGCATCTGGTCTTTTAGTCCATCTCAAACGTCCAGATCCGGAAAACCAGCTAGTTTTTCTTCCCAAACCCGTTCCTCTGAAGCGGAGGTTAGCAGAGTCACGGAGACTATACGTTACTAGGCTATTTTTAGCAACCGAGCCTGTTATTAATTAATAATACGTTACTGTGATGATGAGAGAAAAAAATGTTTAGCATCGGTGTCTTGGACCACATTAAACACGTTTCTCACTTGAGATTCCCCATCCATATAATCAAAGATTCATAAGCGAGAAATTGTGACTCATGTTGGTTGCATCAGTATTTTCTGCATTCTGGCATTTTTGTGTGTGTGTCCCTTTCCCTATGATACCGTAGCTTGGAAAAACTTTAAGTTTTAAGAGTTCCCCCCATTAGAGGAAAAGAAGATACAGCGGTGTGCAAATAATGGAGGAGAACCAGAATTCCGTGGTTGGGTTAATTGGCAGCTCTGCAGTACACTAAACACTGCACACACATACACAGTGGAATACTGCGACTGTTCTGAGGCCACTGTCTTATATTTAGTGAAGGGAGACCAGCCTCTGTCACTTTTCTCTCGCTTAACCCAACACTTTCTCTTCTCTTTGCCACTGTGTTGAAGAGGAGTCTCCTGGGAAGACTTAAGTCTGAGTCCTCGTTCTTTTCCCCCATTCTCTCTCTCTCTCTCTGTCTCTCTCTGTCTCTCTCTGTCTCTCTCTCTCTCTGTCTCTCTCTCTTTCTCTCTCTCTCTCTCTCTCTCTCTCTCTCTCTAGGTCACATTTTGCAGAGAGAAAGAAGACACAGAGTTGTTTTTTTTTCTGTCTGCCTTCCCGCTCTAACAACCCGATAATGTGTTTAAATACAGATGCAAAACACAGGCGTTAACGCACGTGCATTTGTACCGATTTAGCAGCACAATGCACGAAATCAATCGTCCACTTTGGAGTGGACATGGACATTAGAGAAGACTTTGCCACCCTTAAGTTGTGGGAGTAATTCACTCCAGGACCTCCTTAAATGATGATGTAAAACCTGCAAAATCACAAGGGCTTTTGCGTTGTCATGGTTATTGAGCGACTCTGTCGCTTCAGGGGAAATGGCGTTTGGGAGGGTGCAGGCAGGAGGAGGGACACCGTCTTAATTGCTTTCTGTGAATAATTTCAGCCTCCTAATTTGGCAATAATGACAGTGGCTGCTGCTTTTGTATTTATTTATCCAAACATTAATTGGCAAGAGTGACATTAGCCAGGGCGCTTATTGTGCATTTGATTGCGCACCAGGGAGCTGGGAAAATTACAGTAATTATCATTTTGATATAGATTATGAATATGTATTCCCACATTTAATGTCTCTGTCAGGATGGCTCTGACAACAAGGCACTCTGCCATTACAGTAGCACTTAAATTTATCTTCATATCTGTGTCTCTGCTCCCAGTCCAACCAGTGCTTGGGGAGAACAAATGACATGTCATACTCAGGTGATTTAGCTTTTTGAATCGTCTTTCTAATAACATTGCTAGCGTAGTAAGGTGCAGGCAGGATTGATAGCCCTTCACAAACATTACGTAGGATTTCAAAAGTTTTATGCAGATCACAGTGTTCGACATGGGCTGGTCTGCAGTTGAGACTAATACTGCAACTTGAAGTATCTGCCTATAGCGATACCTTGTTTCGTCCTCCAGTCAGTCTACCGGTGACGTGCCGACTAACCCACTGTTAAATGGTCTGCAGTTCAATTAATTGGTTAATTAATTGTGATTGTAATTGTGCTAATGTTTTTTTCTGAGATTTCCCCCACTCTGGGAACACACTTTTCTTATCTTATCATAAGGCAGAGGTACCCTTTTATTAAAGAGATTTAATTAATATAGAATTAATATATTATTTTGAATTCATGAAATTAAAATAAATGTTACTGACTGGCCTGTACAAATCCAAGATTGAAACAATCTTGAAGTACCTTTTTAAAACCAACACATTTTGTAATTAAATAGAAACTATGGAGACACTTGATGATTTGTATCAAAGCTCTTTGGAAATCCATTGAAAAGGCTGCTCACTCCAACAGTACGTCTGTGTGAAACCTGGTTTTTAATGTGTGTCTAAATATTCTTCGATGCTAAATGTGTGCGTGTGTTTATTTTTCTGTAGGCAGAGGGAGAGGACAACTTGAAGAAGATGCAGCTAATGGAGCTGGCAATTCTCAACGGGACCTACAGAGACAATAACATCAAGGCGCGTAAGTGATTCTCCTTTAGTACTCCATTAGGCCACACTTCGTGTACTCCATTTAGCAATGTACTGTAAACAACTGCTAGTTTAACCACATGGCCTTGATATATCATTGTATTTTATCGACTAATATTGTTAATCATCCTTTACTACGTGAATAGTCACAGTTTCTGTGTTGATGTACCTCCATATCTCTGACCACTAGCTGACTCCTTCTCGTCCATGAGCGGGACGACTTCCTTCCATTCTGTTCTCCGTGTTCCTCATCCCTCCCTCCTTCAACCCATGACCTTGCCATCTAGAATCAATTGCTCCTGGCAGACTTTAAGCCTTCCACATATCGCTGTGCTCAGTTCTGCATGTTGGTCATCAGTTCACACAATCACAGCTCCTGCTCCTTCACAGATGTGCCCTGTCTAAATGCATAATCCCATCTGGGTTTGGGATGAAGTTAATCAGCCCAATTGGTCGAAAAAAAACCAGATAATTTCATGTGATTCCGATTTCTTCATAATGTAGTTGATACAGTGACAAATTAATTCTGAGCATCATTTGGTGTTCAACACCAGCCCACATGGTATGAAGAACCTCACCACTGCCACCACCACGGTGCTTTTTTAACTTGCACTTGTAAATTATTGAACTGTCATAGAACACTGAGTTTGTAGTGAAGCAACAATATTTGAATTCACTTCAAACGCAGTGACCTCCATGTCCAGTTCAATAGTTTCATCAATTTGAATCCTGCTTCTTTGTATCCTGCTCCTGATGGAGTGGATACACTGCTCTCCTTCTGTCGGCGTGTTTCCCTCCACTTTACCATCTCTACTAGATGAATGTGTAGCTACTGTGGTGATTGGTTTGCCCTGAATGCATCGGGAAGACGGCAGCATTTGTGCTTTGTTGTGTTTTGGTGTGAGGGATTGTTTTTATTTTATTTTGCTATGTTTTTTTTTTCTTTGCAAGATATGTTGGCTTCTGTGGTTCACCACCATGATCATTGCATGGACTAATTTTCCCTTTTGTTCCTCCCCTCCCCTTTTGCCACTTTCTGCCCCCCTGCTTTCTGTTTCCTTCTTTATATTTTCACCTTCACTGCTCATCTGTGATTATGATCCAAAACACTTCACTTTTGTCTCTCGTCCTCTTCCTCTCTCTCTCTCTCTCTCTTCTCCTCCTGTCCTCCACTTTCTTGCTTATGGCGGCCACCCTTGCGTTCTCTCTTGCAGCGGCGGCAGCAGCCGCTCAGGGTCCCCGCCTCATAGCGGCCCCCACGGGCCAGGTGTTGCCTCCTCCGGGACTCCGACCCCAAACACCGGCTGGGGCTCCCATCATGAACCTCATCCGGCCCACTCAGATGGCTGCCATGTTGCCTAACGGCACACCCACGCTGGTGCCTCCCACACCGGACGGTGGGCTCATCTACACCACGCCATATGAGTACCCATACGCCCTGGCACCCACCTCCCTGCTGGAGTACCCCATCGAGCACAGTGGGGTTCTAGGTAAGAGAGCCTGGGGGAGCATGGGTGCAGTCGGTACAATGGCCAGCTTTAGCCAGCCTGGACAGGAGGGCAGCTTGTTTTACCCCGGAATTGGGGTTCTGGACGCGGCTACCATGAGCCACAGTCAGGACTTGTTTAAAGGTAAATATGTCGTGTCCACCTGAGGATGAAAACAAACTGAGGGGTGGAAGTCCCGGGGAAGCTGGTGGTTATTGTGCTGACCAGCTGCAGTTTGTGGCTTATATGGACACTGTGTTAAAACAGCAAAAGAGGGACAGAACAATGTTGTGAAGGCCAGGCTGTCAGAGGGTTCTCTTTATGATTTAGGACCAGGTCACTTCACTCTTGTAGTTATGCTCCTGCCAAACAGCTATGCTCTCAGGTTGATATTGCCCTTTTTTCCTGCAAGGTTTATATTATAAGGACTGAGCTCAGTGTGAAATCAGGCACGCGGACTGAAACACTCCTTATAGCGTATACGCCGCCTGCTCTCTCACCCTTTCATGCACTGGCCTGCAGGCATATTCAGTCTGGCGGCAGATCCCTTCGGATTTCTGCAGCTTTTGAAATAATTTCTCTGCGCTGTTCTCCGCAGGCAGCCCTTGATGCTGGTAGATAGTCCCTCTCTCACCCCCACTGGGGATGTTCATTAAATTCCTCCAGTCTTCCCCTTTCGTCTTCTTCTTCCCTTTTGCCAGTGTCTTAGTTCCAACACCCTTTAACTCCAGCTCAGTAAAACTAGTGCCTGATGTTCCTTTAGCTTCGACAGCATCAGGACTTTGGTTCAGTATAAAGATGGAAATACTGTGATTCACTCTCAATGGTGCTTTAAGCTCTATACGTCTGCTACCAAAGAGACCAATGATCATCTGAAAAAGAACACAGAGTAAACTCTGACCCCGACCACGTGTTCAAAAATTAAGTGGCCTTTGTCTGTCACGTTTTGGGGGACATTTATTTAAGAAAAAAAAAATCCCATCTAACGTTTTCCACAACATTTTCAGCAGCAGCAGCAGCAGCAGCAGCAGACAGGACCGTGATTTGAACTGACCCGTGAACTCTCAGCTGCCTGTGGGAGTCGTGTGTAGAAAAGACAGCAGCAGCTGACTGGCTTTTCTCTCTCTCTAACTCGCAGGGTTACACCAGCTTAGTGCATTTTATTTACTCACACTATCGATTGGTGCCTTCAGCTACACACTGGGCCCGTGGAAAACACTCGCTCTCATCTTCGCACATGCTCATGCACTTGGCCTGGGCTGCATGAACTACTGTATCCAGCCACAGTTGGCTTTTGTAGAGAACGTGGAAGTAACTCAGTCCACCTGCTGCTTCAGAGTAGTGTAGATGACTCTGCAGTAATCAGCTAAAACACCTTTATTTATAAGATGAAATCCTATCTCTTCTTTTTTTTTAAAAATTCAACACTCCTGCATATGAACGTGAGCTCTTAGTGGGCGTCACACACCTGAGTCTCTGTCAGACGTAGCGTAGCAGGAAGAAATCATTTGTGACAAACATTAGAGGTAAACGACAGCCCCTGTCGCTTTGAAGGGATTGACCCGGAGAGAAATGGTGAGAGAGAGAAAAGAGAGAATGAAGGAGAAGAGGCAGAGAGGCAGGTGGTGTCTGGCACCGTTCAATTACCATCAGAGTGTATTGAATTTTCTCCACCTTTCAAAATAAGGAGACAGATTTCCCTCCATCCCTCTCTGGATCCCACAGGAAGAATCACATTATATATGTTTTCCCAGACAGCCCAGGAGCCTGAACCCTTTAGCTGCCCTCTTTTCAAAGAGTCCTTCATAAAACTCTGAGCACTGTGGAATTTTTATTACCTTAAGTTATGCATTTTTTTAAATACCAGGAAAGAAAGAAAGAAAGAAAGAAATTAAATGAAAAAAAAAAGTTATTTTTTTCTACTGCATTTTTTTCTACTCTAAAGAGATATGTTTGCTGTGTGTACATGTGCTATAGCCTGTATTGAGTTGCTATTATATGTACTGTTGTAATATCCAAGCATTCTAATGATAATGGCTAAAATGTGAATGTTATTACTGTAAAAGAATGACTGTTTTTCCCTCCCTCAAAGTGAATGGTTTCTAACCTTGTGGACCTGTTACAATCTAGGTGCAATGGCTACTAAAGTGAGACGGCATGACGCGCGGGTCCATCCTTACCAAAGGATTGTGACCACTGACAGAGGTCAGTTTAGTCTATTAGTTACACTCTGCTATTGACTGATGCATTTCAATGACTATTATTGCCTATTATGCCCCTATGCCTTAGTTGGGTTTTGTATATTGTGTGTATTGGTATACATCTATATACATATATATATATATTTTTCTCCTTGTTTCTCCACCCCCTTCCCCCACTACCACTCCCCCTTTTCAATCCCATACTTCCACACACCAGCTAAATGGTTGATTGTGGTATGCACATTTGTTTACATCTAGTACTTAAATATATTCAAATATGCAAACCTGTTGTCAGAAAACTTGGTAAACTTGGGAATGATGCAATAAAAACAAGAAGTGCAAATTGATAATGTGCTTGAATCTTAAACAAACAGAAAGTAACGTGTTTTTTTTTTTTGTTCTTTTTTTTTTCTCATCTATTCTTGACCCATGAATGAGTTATTCATTTAGAGTCTAGGCATTTAGATACAAAAGTCTTAGTTTGGTTGAGATTGATCTGGACTGCAGGCCGGAACTGGAAATTAAATGAAATTTAAAAAAAACCTTCCAGAGGTTGATTTGAGCGTTACATTTTTGGCATAAATCAAGGCTTTGGATTTGATTGGATCAGACTCTACATGAAGGCTTTGGATTTGATTGGATCAGACTAGCCAAGACCAGACTTTTTCAGTCCCACTTCCTCTTAAATCACGTGGCTGTGTTAATATCTGAATTTATGTTTAATATGTAGCTTCAAGATCAAGTCACTGAAATTGTCCTTAATTATGGGTTTGGGTGATTTTATTTTTTCATTCCAAGTTTACCAACATTTTCTCCAACAGGGCCTTGTATGTGACGACTGTGTGTAAATATATATCAGAGCTCAGGCAAACGTGACCTTAGCAGCTTCTCCAGTTGTTTGCAGCCATAGTTACTGCAGCTGTGAAGCCAGGGCAGGTAGAACTTCGTTAAAGGTGTATTACGACATTCCTCTGACGTGAGATGAGAGCCGAACATTAGGGCAACTCTGTTCCCGTACATGATTTTTCTCCTCTGTTCATATGGAACAAAGGAGCAAATGAGAGGAAAAATATTTCTACATGTGAGGGAAAGAAAAATCAGTAGCCGCGCTGCTACCAGGCAACATTTCACCTTGAATTTAAAAAACTTATTTTGGTTTTTATTTTTCTATGGACGACTTAAAAAAAAAAAAAAAACAGAACAAAAAAACGCACAGACATACGTTAAGGTAGCTTGCGTTTCCTTCTTCTTTTTTTATTTTTTTTCTCCTTCCTCTCCGGTGTATTGCAAAATATACTGCATAAAGCTAAAAATACATTTTTTAAAAATATTTTAGTTGTACATGAGGTACTGTCATTTTATATTTGAGCATTTTATATCAAATGTATTTATGGTTCTTGTGTATATTTATATTATATAAAAACATACTGCTAAATAAAGAGAGAGAGAGAATCGTAACGCATCGATTCATCAATTTATTGCACAATTTAACACTAGTCACATAACATCAGTTTAATGAGAGCCTCCTTAACACTAATCACACTGTTTGTTACTTGCACCTCCAGCCTTAAATACACTAAAACACTAGATTTTTTTTTGTTCATTTATTTTCTCTCCTTTTGTTAGTTTGTCTGTCTGTCCGTCTTCTCTTTGCTTCTGTTTACTGGTTTGGGGTCAGTTTTTGCGCTTGGATTAAAACCGCCTAGCAACATTAATTCAGGGTGGGGGCTTAGAGGTGAGGTGAGGATCATGATGTAGAGAAACGTCATGACCAGAGTAGTAATAATAACAACAACCACGATGATAATAATAGTGACATTAGCTGAGGATCATCTCATACCTTCAGTGGGTTTAGGGGGCATCATAAGAGATTGCATTCATTTTATTGTTAAAATGATGTCATTCCAGTCTCTTCTTGCTGACACTAATATCCTTTCTATCTTTTTTTTCTGTTTGTTTGTTTTTTATTTTTTGTTTTGTTTTTGTTTCTAACCACCTAGCCGCCACCGGCAACTAACACATGACCTTCTGACCTCTGAACTCTTCACCCAATGACGAGCCGCCCCAAGCCTGCCTGCTGATCAGTTAACTGGTAATTGCCTTTTGCTAGCCTCTCGGACGCAAGTGAGAGAGAGAGAGAGAAAGAGAGAGAGCGAACGAGAGCGAGAGAGAGGCGCCTGCCCGTACAGTTACCCTAACACAAAAAAACAAACAAAACAGATAGAAACCAACGCAGACTCTTCACTGAAACACAACAAAACCCAACAACGTTGTGTAAAATTTCATTATTATTTTTTTCTCCTCTGTTCATTGAGTTTGATTCCCATTCTTTCTCTTTCTTTTTCTTCATGAATCACATATTGGGTGGCTGTGTCTTCGTGGTATTAGTCATGAATCTGCACTGAATTATTATAATAGCAATAACCATCCCACCCCCACCCTGTCCCACCGCCACTCCCTAAAGTGCTCTGATTGGGCGTGACTTGACTCCCATGAATCAAGTCTCCAGGATTTGTCAGAGGCAAAAAGCATGTGGTTTATATTCTTTGGTTTTTTGTTTTTTTCATATGAGAAATGACCTAATCCTTCTCTAAAATTCATCTGCCCTTCTTAGTGAACAAGTGAACAAAATAAA